TGAGATGATATACAATAGAATGAATGTAAAATTAATGTTCTCCCATGTAAACTATCACATAATTCACAATAAAACATTTAAGAAAAAAAAAAGGAATATGGCTGAAAAACTATTAACCAAAACCCAAAAAATACAGGAAAGAAAAACAATGTCAGAGAAAGCTTGCCAACATTCATACCTAAATAAAAATTCATTACAGACACTTAAAATGCTGAAGGGAATAAAACATTATTTCATTTATCAATTCAGAAACCCAATCTAGAGTTGTTATTATTAAGTGCCTTCGAGTCAGTTCTGACCCATAGCGACCATGTATAGGGTTTCTGAGGAACTTCTGCTGAGCGTGAACTGCTGACCTTGCAGTTCAAACGACTTTGCAGTCTGGCGCATTAACCCCCAATGCCACACCAATCTAAGAGAAAGCAATTCAAATTCAAATAGCTGTTCAGTGAACATACTAGTGTAGAGTACCAAACAGGAGATAGTAAAGGAAGGATCCAAGAAGCATACCAATTTATTACTGGGTAACATAGGAAAGGAATTGACATCTCAGTGCTGACAAAGGCAGAAAGCCCAGTATGAGATTTGTAAAGGATCAGAAAATGAGCCTGAAATGACCGCCAGATTTGGTTAAGGGCAAAAAAACCCCCCAACTTTTGGACAAACTCTTTAATAGAATATTTAGAGTAGAAATCATTTAGTGGTAAAATGGGTGATTGTAGCCAAAATGTGTTTTAGAAAATAAGGCTATTATTAAATCTTAGTAGGACCCAGCCCACCTTTCTTGCCTAAGAATAAACCAATACAGAAGCTAGCCTTGTGGGTAAAACCCCTAAGTTCATCCTGTACCCTATTGACATTTATCCAAACGCTTACTTATTATCATTCTATTCTCTAGAACCCTTCAGTGTTCTTGTTAGGTGACATTGAGTTGGTTACAACTCATAGTGACCCTATACACGATCTTCACAATCATAGCTGTTTGAACATGGTTGCAGCCATTCTCAGTCCATCTCATTGAGGAGCTTCCTCTCCTTTGCTGATTTCTCCACTTTACTAACCATGATGTCCTTCTCCAGCAACTGGTACCTCTTGACAACATGTCCAAAATCTGAGAGACAAAGTCTTACCATCCTTGTTTCTAACATTCTGGCTATACTTTTTCCAAGAAAGATTTGTTTTCCTGGCAGTTCATGATACTTTCAATATTCTTCAACACCACCATAATTCAAATGCATCTATTCTTTCGTCTTACTTATTCACTGTCCAGCTTTCACATGCATATGAGGCAACTGAAAATACCATGGGTTAGGTCAGGCACACTTTAATCCTCAAAACGGCATTCTTACTCTTTAACACTTCAAAGAGGTGTTTTGCAGATTTGCCTAGTGCAATACACTGATTTCTTGACTTCTGCTTCCATGAGTGTTGATTGTGCAATTTTTTCACACAAATGTTTTTCATTGCATAACACAAACTCAATTGTCACTGCCCTTTGCTTCAAAGTCACTTCCAACCATTAGTCCTTCACTTTCAAGTAGTAACTTTTCTCTTTGAGGATAATAACACTCTGTATCTATTTATCTTCATTCAGGTAAATTTACCAAACTCTCCACCATACACTGATATTTTGGTACCTTATTCTTTTTCTTCCCTAAGTACTGGTTTGTCATCCTTCTACGAGACTTCACTGATCATGAAAACCACCCAGCTTTAGTTCCTAGACACCCTTAACTGGAATGAACTTAGTCCCCATCAATCCTACTACACCACCTCTAACTTGTCTTACCAACTGCTCCACTCTTGTAATACGAAATTCGCAATCCTCCCTGACACTCAGTCCTTCAGTCCCTTTGTGTTCTCCTTTATGAACTCAATCTACATTTTAATCTCTAATCAGTCAAGACTCCATGGATAATCACTAGTCATCCTTTTGCCAAAGTTCTCAACACCCTTGCCATGTTATTCTTTTATCTCATAGAGCAAAATCCTAATCCTTGATCAATCAGCTGCCTCCCTTCTCAATTCCTACAACCAGAATATTGTATGTTTCTGTAGAAAATCAGCCACTCTGATTAGTGCCACAGTTCCGTCTCTAATCTCAACTTGACTCTTTTTAAAGAGTTGCCTGGTGAATTCTCATCTGTTCTACAGTTGGTAATTCAGCAGTTCTCCACTCTCATCAAATATTTTAGCCTAATACCTCCCTCCTCCTTCACCCTCAACAGATGACCTTGCAAGAATACCACAGGAGAGAAAAGGCATGGGGCAAACACTCAGCTTTTGACCTTAACACCTGCACACTCTACTCACGATTATCACACTTTCCTCCAGACAAAGATGTTAAGAGATGTGCCTCTCCCATTTAAGATTAAAATGAAATGTCGACTTGTGTACCTGATGCCATCCTTCTAGGTTTTCATGAGGTTCTTGCTCTATCACATATTCCTTCTTCTAAAGTTTCACAATTGCCTCCCTCCTTCCCATATTTCAACATACTCAAACATGCAACTCCCCCAACTGTTCCCCTACAAAAATCTCATGTCTTTTTCCATCTCCAGCTTTAATCTTTTCTTTCCTATTCCCAGCCAAATTTCTGGAAGTTCATGCTGTACTTACTTCTTTATTTTCACATTCTGCTGAGCCTACCACTAAATGATTTCTACTCTAAATATTCTATTAAAAAATTTGTCAAAAAGTAAATCAAATGTCTAGGGATATTAGTCTCGCTCATATGATCCAAGAGTAAATAGACAAAGGTTCACAAAACAGACTAAATGCTTTAGAGAAAGGAAGATCGCTTAAGGGAAATAAGACCCAATATATCCAGACTACACTCCCAGCTAAGGTTACTCAAGGTATAAGTAGATTTGTGTT